AGGAGATCAGATGGAATGAACAGGAGAAGACAGAATTACAGTACAGTCTGAGTGGTCCAGCAATAGCTGTCTTCACATAGGTGAGATTGACAGTGGAGATCTTTTCTGTGCAAGAGCCTAGGTGTCTCAGCAGTGCTGGTCTGGCACTGGAGGTCTGGAGGGTTTCCTAGAGAACCCGGCTTTGAGTCCTGTTGGATAGCCACAGAAGCTGGCTTCTAATGTCAGTGAAGGATGGTGACAGCAGCAACTGCTGTGACAATGACAGCAGTAAAAATGTGATGAACTTGCCAGAGACACAAAGATCAGCAAGCAAAAATATAAGGTTTTCCTCTGAGACCTCTTTATATCTATCTGGGCTGCCACCTGAAGGTGCTAGCCACATTCAGGAGTCTTCTGGCTTCACTGAATGTAATGTGGCAAATCCTCAGGGGCAAGCCTGGAGGTTAATCTAATCTAGTAATCTCTCACAAGTGGGTACAGAGGCTGGTCTCGTGAATGATTCTAGGACCGTTTAAGTTGATGATCAATACTAACTGCCACAGAAATAAGCCATAAAATGCAGTTATTAAAATACACAAATGTGAGTTGGATATCAGAAACTACTATACAAAAAAAATGGTGGCTTGAGGCAGAGTGTATGAGTATATGAGTGGTCCCTTCTCGGGGTAGGGGGATAGAATAGGAAAAGCATAGTAAAAGAAACAGGAGGAGAGAGAGAGACAGAGAGAGAGAGAGAGACAGACAGAGAGAGAGAGAGAGACAGAGAGAGAGAGACAGAGACAGAGACAGAGAGAGAGACAGAGAGAGAGACAGAGAGAGACAGAGAGATAGAGAGAGAGACAGAGACAGAGGCAGAGAGAGACAGAGACAGAGACAGAGACAGAGAGAGACAGAGACAGAGACAGAGAGAGAGAGGCAGAGACAGACAGCGAGAGAGAGACAGAGAGACAGAGACAGAGAGAGACAGAGAGAGAGACAGAGACAGAGAGAGAGGCAGAGAGAGAGAGACAGAGACAGAAAGAGAGACAGAGACAGAGAGAGAGACAGAGACAGAGAGAGACAGAGAGAGAGACAGAGAGACAGAGAGAGAGAGACAGAGACAGAGACAGAGAGAGAGAGAGAGACAGAGAGAGGAATAAAAAAATACCAGGTTATAAGGAGGTGTAGCTGCAGGAGGGAGGGCAGCCTTGCATTTAGGCTGAAGGAGGACAATGCTGGGATTCTAGCATGGACTTTGAAATGTGTAACAGGTACCTGTGGTACTGAAGTAGCTTGTATACCATCATTAGCTTTTGATATGCTAATAGGCACCACCCTTCTGCTAGCCATGAGGGAAATCACTCACTCCTTTTAGAGTTCTGACATGCACCTTCTTGGATCTTCTCTCAAAGTCTCTTCTCATCACATCCCTCCTCGCCTGTGTCAGGTCAGCTGCAATTCCAACTTATTTGTTCCAAGAACCTTCCCTTGCAGCCTCAGGAGCAATCCTGGAACTGAGCAGCAGCGTCAGCAGAGACAGGGAGGGTGCAGGAGGCACAGCCTGCCTCTGAGAGTCTCTGGGCACAACCATTTGATTAACTCTTGATTAGTTGTCCCTTCCCCAGGCATATCAAGGGCACCTTTGAATTGCTCTGTGAGACACTAAGCCTCTCTCGGAGGTTAGGCCAGTGTCATTAAGAAGTTCTGGAGTTTGTTCCTTTTGATCACAAATGAAAGCTGCATTGGATTTTTTTCCACGAAAAGCATCCCCAGAGAAACGGGATCAGGAAGCAGAGTGTGTTAGACATGATGTTGGCAACCTTAATCTTTCTGCCTTGGTTTCTCTGCTTTTTCCTCCCATCCGCTGTCATGCTTACTGACTATTGTAAGTATTCCATGTTCCTGGCTTCCAACACTGTCATCTGCCCACTCACTCTCAATGAGGATACCATTAGATCAGCAGGTCACATTACTGTAGTAACAACCATGATTTTATTGCACAAACATCAGATTCCTCAGAACCCTGTTCACTGAATCTGACTCCTATATAATGAGACACACTAAGTGATAGTAGATGCAATGTGTGGCCACCAGCACAGTTCATGGCTTCTGCCATGTAAACTTGGTCAGACTGAGAATTGCCTGGGCTATTACCAAAGCATGCTTCTGATGCATCTGCGAGGACATTTCTAGAAGGGATGCATGGAGAGCACAGGCTGATGCACAGAGGGAGTAGAGACTGGCTGGTGACAAGGACTCTCCACCTGCTTCCTGGCTGTCCTGATGTAAGCAGCTGTATCCCACCCCCATGAGGTTCTGCCACTAGCCAGCACAAACACAGAGCCAGTTAACCCAGGGCTAAAAACCTTCAAAATCATGATCAGAAAGAGATATTTTCTCTGTTAAAATGGTTTTCCTCAGGTGTTTTTCACAGCACTGAAAATATCACTGATAGTTCCTCTTACCTTACCTCACGACTCCCTGCTTCCCCATAGCCCAAGCCACACCACCTGTCACCAACCTGCAAGCCCTGGGTTTTCTCACTTGGGTTCTCTCAGGCATCCTTTATTTATATTGACATCATTTCTCTGCTTGCTTAGCTCACACTGTCTCTTAATTAAGCACTAATAAATAGCTTTTTTCTTTCTGAATGTTATGTTTCATTTGAATGGTTTTTCTATATTTCTTGCATATTTCTGTTTAAAAGAAATGTTAGTTCTAGCTGGTGCTGGCCCTCCAGGTCTAATGGAAAACAATTTAAACACACACACAAAAGAAAAATAGACTTATCTGTCTTAAAGCCTTTTCCATTTGAAAAGTGTACTATTATTTCAATGGACTTTGAGACTGTGTAATTCAAATTAGATCAGTAGGTGGAAATTCAACAAACCAAAGGAGGTGACAGCAGCCTTTTAAGAAATGAGAATTTTTTAAGAGGTCCAACTGAAAAGGATAGACAGAGACACCTAAGAGGTGATAGACCCTGAGCACTGGGGGAAGAGGTTCCTAGAAGGGTGGTGGCTTTGCGAAGAACCAGGAAAACACAGTTGACAGAGTTGTGTGAGGAACTCTGATGAGTGACTGAATTAGAACCCATTACTCCATAACCTGACACGCTCTGGTTTCTTAGTGGGTTCTACCAGGAGATTAGTGATGAAGGCTGCCTGTGATGACACTTTGCATACTGTAGTGAAGAGCCGCCTGTTGGGACTGCTTGTACTCACACACAGATTCACAAGCAGTGGGCAAACCACAGCCTGAGAGATGTGTCTTACAATTGTTTCACATGATGTATTTTAAATGTTTTTCAGTTTTCTGACAATATCTCCAAGGAGGGAAAATAACAGTATTCAAGAACAAAAGAGTTTAAAATGAAGGTTGTCTTCAACCCCTTTAAATGCTTTCTCAGTTTGAACACAGAACATTGCTAAGGTCATAATTTCTTCCAGTATATAGATAGGAATGGATTCCACACTCAAAATCACCCCAGCCAATCGGTAACACTATGGAGATAAACACACTTCCTACTCCTGAAATTAGGGACACACCAGCCCAAATGAACATTTGCTCAGGTCTGTCTCTAGAGGGGACATTTTTAAAAGGTCGAATGCACACAACTCTGCCTTAGAGATGTGAAGCTGAGGCTTTCTTCTTGAAAGGAAACCTGTAGCATTTCAACAGCTAAACCTGAGCTGTACTCTGTCACAGTACCCTTGCCATACTGTGACATCTTCAAAAGTCTATCTTTACTCCCAATTCCTCTTCCTGGTTGGGCTTTGGAACTCCTTAGTGTTGCCTGGCATCTATTTCTGCCACTCTTTAAATCTGTGCTTCTGGGTAATGGATTAAGGGAGTAGTTCGACAGACAATCCTATATCTTACACGGGACTCCACACGGAACCCTGTCTCTCCTGTACACACAACACACTCCTAGACAGCAGTACAGTTTCACCTTCTGCTCCCGTGGTTTTACCACAAGAGCCCATCTAAGATTCTAGGCATCCCATGTCAAGACATGTTCCCTGTGCCACAGTGTTCTGCCTGGCTTCCTCTACCTATGGTGTTTGCTATCTCAAAGTTTTAGACCCTGTTTTTAAACATTTTTCCCTAATTCTCTTGAATTAGCTCAGTGGCCCAACACACAAACACATACTGAGCATGTGTAAAACACTTGAATTCAGTTATCACACCCAAATATTTTTCAAATCTCCATGTATGTGTGTGACATATATGTGAAATACAATAGGTACAAACGCACACACACGTATGTGTGTATGTGCGTGCAATGAAATTAAAATTTTCTACAAAGAGTCATTGGTTTTCTCAATTATAATTAATTAAATACAAATGTGTTTGTAATGCATACACGGGAGCTTCTGGTCATAACAACATGAGTGTTTCTACAACAAGCAAGACAATGAAGAGATGTGATAGAAATTTAATGGAAGTTTACCAAGGAAAACAAAGCAAAATTCCTGACTACCTGACTACCTCAGAGCTATTTGTGTACCCTAGGAATGACTGCATAAAAAAAAAGAGCCTGAGGTAAAGTCTAACAGGAGCTCATACTTGCACTTCTTAACGTCCTCCTGATGGCATTTAAGAAATGAAGGAGAGGATCCCAGGAGGCACAAGTGACCCTCAGAGGGATTCAGAAATTCTGGGTAAGCATGGCAGAGTAATGGGCAGCGGGGTCCTGCAGCGTTTGCCCCAAGGGATTAGCTGGCAGTCTGAAAACACATCAATAATTCAGATGAAACTTTGAGGTCATTTTCAAATGAAAAAACTCCTTGTCAAAACCATGTGAAGCACGGGCAGGGTGTTAATGAACAGGGGGATGAATTATGAAACTGACCATGAACCATGGGAGAAATATTCATCACTAGAATTTTTGGGACCTCACTAGTATTCCATTAACCCAGAAACCAAATGTAAAACACATGTTTTCAAAGGGGGAAGAAATCAAGTGTAATGAGTGTGCTCAGGAGAAATCTTGAAACATTTCAAAATAATCACACCCGTGGAGTTGAATATGGCTTTACTGATAGCTACGGAAGAACCAGTAGTGAGGCCAGCCAGAAGAGTCCACCAAAGATGCCAGCAGCTCTTGTCGCTGTTGCTCTAAGTTCCTCTGATGTTCTGTTTGGCACAGTGCCTGCTTGTGGCATTGACATTCCAGTACACATTGAAATACCAGTGTGTTCTTGACTCTGGAAGTGGAGGCTGCCAGACGAGAGACGATTGATTCCCACAGTCACCCATGGGTGATTTCACACTATGTTTAATCATCTGCAGTGTTGACTGGATCTTTACTTTTCTCTAAGAAGAAGAATAAAAAATCATTCATTTGGTACTAAGATTTTTTTTCCTAGAACACTGGATTTTCTGTTTACTGAATTGTTTCCATTTTTCTAGTTGGTTCAACTGTTGGAACATTGAAAATCTATTTATCTCTCCCCCTCTCTCTTTATTAGTTAACCCACTCATTCATTTTTCTACAATTTCAGTAACTGTTTGCTGATCAGTTGTTCTATATTGCACCCTTGTCATTTTTAGTTTATGGATAATCCTTTCACAGAGACAGGGGAAGGATGAGGTCAGACAGTAGGATCCATTTCCTGAACTGAAGTCTCCGTGGTGTCAGCAGTGTCCCAGGACACCTCCTCAAGCGCCAATGTGCTTGTCAGGTTGGGAGCTCCATAATGAACCACTCCAGAGAACAGACTGGATCCTGGGGTCCAGATTCAAATTACCAGAACTTGTCCCAACCCTGCCATTTAAAATGCATAATCTTGGAGAAGCTTCCAAGACTCCCATGCCTCAATTTCCTAGCACAGCAAGGAAGGATTTTGTTGGTTTTCCAAAGAGCTTTCCCTACAGAGTAAAGTATAGTCACACTGGCAGCACACAGGTGTTAGTTAATTCTGTGGCACTCTCAGATAGGTCCTCCCATTTCACATGCACTGACATGGGAACAGGAAGCCAGTTCCCTGCTCGCTCTAACCCTCTAACAGCTCACTCTATGATACAATCTTCCACAAGACAAAGAGCTGGAAAGAGCAGTAGGAAACAGTTGAGTTCTCAGGTATTACCACCTGAGGCTGTAATTAAGAAGTGATGGGGGGCTGGGCGGTGGTGGCTCATGCCTTTAATCCCAGCACTCGGGAGGCAGAGGCAGGCGGATCTCCGTGAGTTCAAGGCTGGGCTGGACCGACAGCCTCCAAAACAATACAGAGAAACCCTGTCTTGTAAAACAAAAAAAAAACAAAACAAACAAAAAAAACCAAAAAACCAAAAAAAAAAAAAAAGAAGTGATGGGGGAATGTCCTTCTGTATATATGTTTTTCTTATTGGTTGATAAACAAAACACTGATTGGCCAATAGAGGCAGGAAGATAGGCAGGGCTAGGAGACGAAGAGAATTCTGGGGACAGAAAGAGAGAAAGGCTCCAGGAGATGTCATGTAGCAGAGCAACAGGTCCAGACCCTTCTCTGGTAAGATAAGACCACATGGAAATACTTAGATTAATAGAAATGAGTTAATAATTAAGGCAGAGCTAGTAAGTAAGAAGCCCTACCAATCAGCCAACAGTTTTATAATTAATATGTGTATCTGTGTGCTTATTTGGGGCTGAAGGGCAGCAGGACGTGGCAGGACAGAAACTTCTGTTACGAAGATGTGTCCTGGTCAATCCAAGAAATACTCACCAAGGCAAAGGAGTCCTATGTTGAAGGAGACAGACATGCCTTGTACAACCACTGGCAACTAAAGGTGTCTGTCTTGAGCCAAGAATGAAAGTTCTGTCCTCAGATGCAAAATTTGGCTGCAATATTCATATGCCCTGTAGTCTTCTGTAGGCAGTGTCTCTGCCATATTTTTAGGTTTCTGCATAAGGAAGTCATGTCTACATTCTTATTGAAAGGAGACCTTAAAACATGGGTTCTGTTCTTGGCATGTGTGACAAGCATTTGTTGTTAGTGTCATTCCCAGACAAGGACACATCTCTGGTCTCTGTTTGCTTTGGTGAGTTTCAGTTAGAGGTTATCATCTCTGGTGCAGTGAAATGGGATAGCAATGCAAACAGTCATCAGTGTAATGATAAAGCCAGGCTGGGGAACACAGAGTAGCCTGGGAAGATCTGACAGTAGGGACATGTTCATCAGTCCCTCTAGACCAGTATCTGGGGAAGCTGGATAATCACTTCTAATCACCTGCCAATTGATTAGGTTTCCCTAGGTTTAAGCGCTGATGCTGAGCATGAAGGCTCTGGAACACCAAGACTGTAGGCTTCTCTACACATCACGTAAAAGTAGGAGGTGGCCCAGGACGTGTTCTAGTCAACCCTCAACACTGCAGAGGTTAGGCTGCTCCCATGCCTACCTTGTCCTTGTTCTGACAAAGCAGGAAGCTCCCTCATTCGCCAGTTATATTGTGTGGTGCAAGACTCCTTTCAAGAACATTCCCTGGTAGGGTACCAGGAAACATTACACACTTTGTGACTGCAAAGACAAAGGTCTTAGGTTGACCTGCAGAGGCTGGTGGGAGGGGAAAACAGCCAGTACTCCCAGGTGCTATCAACAAGTTCTGATTGCCAGGAACTCAGAAATGTCCCATGCATTTTCATTTAACAAGAACTTCAGCAACGGTAGAGTTGTCAGAATAAGGCCCCATCCTGTGACCAGGATTTACTTTTCAACTTTCTCATATGGAGACTAGCCCTTGGGAATGTTTAATATAAAACATGCTTATCTCTGGGTATGTTGTTGTCCAGTACCTATAATCCTGGACTGGCAGAGTAGAAGCAAGAGGATTAGACATCCAAGGCCATACTCAGCTACAGGTAAGTTCAAGCCCGACTTGGGATACATGTGACCCTGTTTCCAAACAGATATGCTCAGAAAATGTCTCATGTTCTTGCTGCTATAGTGTTTACTTAAAGTCAACGACCAAGACAGCAGATACAAAGAAAAACTATCATACTTTTTAAGATAATAGAATTGTACAAATATGTATGTCACCGTTTGGCGTGTTTGACTCACTCAGCAAATGTTTTGATGTCTTCTCTGTGCTAACAACTCATCCAAAGACAGATGAGGCAGATTTTTAAAAAAGCATTAAAAAACAACAACAATAAAAAAAACCTAACAAATGTGCTTCATACTGTGAAGTGAAGTAAGAACAGCCAGCAACAAAGCTTGGAGGTTGCCAGCTGCCAAGGAAGAAGGGAGACTTCCCATCGGGGAACTCTCCCCAGCTGTGCTGACACAAAGTGCATCTTTAAAAGCTTAAAAGGTAGGGACTGGGGAGATGGTTCAGTGGCTAATGTGCCTGCTGAGTATGAGTTCAGCCAGGAACAGCAGCATGTGCCCGTAACCACAGCATCTGAGGGTGCAGAGGGAGGCGAAGCCTGAAGCCAACTGGCCAGCAGACCCTTACTATATACATTATTACATACATTACTACATACATGCATACACACACACACACACACACACACACACACATGCAGGTACCTACATGTGTCTCATTGTTTTCTCTGTGGTATGGACCTCTTCATCGTGAGCACACAGCACTATCTAAACAATCCACACACCTCTGCTGCAGAAGAAGGTTTGGCGTGGAAGCAGCAGGGACCTCCCATCATCTGCCCCATGCTTTCCTGCTTGCTACACACTGGTCCCACTGGAGCAGAGCATATCTGGCATCTCCTTCTGCATTGACAACAGGATGTCAACACCCACCCTTGGGGTGTGAGACAAGTCAGAGTGGCTTTTCAGGGCTGTCATTCTCCCGAACAAAGATCCACCTGCCAGCTGATGTGTTGCAGTAGCTCCTGCTAATTTGACAGCATTCCCTAGAGACCTGGGAAGAAGTACTGATGTGTCCTCTAAGCTAAAACCCCATCCGCAGCCTCAGAAGTCAGGGTTCCAGTCCTCGGAGCCCTGTGTTCTCTACATCTCCCCTGCTAACAAAGACGAAAGGGCAGAGATAATTTATTTTTAATCCTCTGTATGCTTCCAGCCCTGCCTCTAGCAGTCTAATGGTTTGCATTGTATTTGTGAGAAGCTGAAGAACACCCATGAGCCACGTAGGGAAATGTGAGGCTGGTTATATTTGATTTTGTGCATGCCACAGTATGCATTTGAACTCAGACAAGGAAATGAGCTGAGAGAGCAGAGGGCCCTGACAGGGCACCGGCCAATGTCAGGACAGCTGAACAGGTAAGCCAAGGTAGAAGCGCTTAGGCATGGGTCTGCTGCAAGTTTCTCTGTCAGGATACGACACTGCCACTAGGGAGAGAGACAGACTTTTTATGTGCACTTCTGTAGAACTTGAGACTGTGCTATCATTAGGGTCTGTTTAAGCTGTATCATCATGTGTCCTGTTGTCAAATGAGCCTGCAGAAGCAACCCAGAGAAGTCTCAGAGCTAATGGATGGCAAGGCCTAAGAACTCTCCCAAAGGAGACACTTGACCTCTATCCCTCAAATCCAATAGGGCTAAGGGAGCCACTGCCTAGTCTTCCAGGATTAAGTTCTTGCAACCTTTATTGTTCATGTCCTTGATCTTCCTGTCCAAAGCGGATGAGAAGGAGCAGGCTTGCAGCAATCCCTCCAGGCTCTGCCCTGGGACTGGGACCAGAGCTGGCCACAATAGCAGTGTATGAGCTTCATTTGTTCTTTTGTGAAAGGAGTTCTGATGCTCAGAGTTTTGCCATAGAGTGTAATTATCTAACAGTGAAGCAGTGCCAGGGAGGAAGAGGAGGGAGGGAAGAAAAGAGTACAGATCCCAGGTCTACAGGTATGGCTAGAACCAGCCAAATGAGCTTAACCTTGGAATTACCAGATTGTAGTAGGTGTTGGTATTCAGGCATCTGTATGTTCCCTTTTAAAAGGGCCCTGACCACCTCCCATCCTTCTCTCTCTTTTTCTTTCTCTCCTCTCCTTCTGTCTGATCTCTTCTTCAGCTTCTTCCTTCCAGTTTCTGATATCTTAGTAAAAATGATATGGCTGTTTAAAAGGCTCTCAGACTCTTCTGTAGTGCCTAGCACCACATCCACTCTTGAACTTGAACACACAGATCTCCATGATAGAATTAGATATTTCTACAACATCTCAGAAGGCAACATGAACTCACTTCACCTAGAAATCACTAAACAACCACCAATAAAATTCTTAAAACCATAATTTATTGAATGCTAGTACTCTTTTTAATAGGTCTTTTTACTAGGGTTGTACATCTTCAAAGAGAAATAAATATTAAAACTAAACTCACAGTTGTGAGCTAAAATACATATCATGATAAAAAATATAGCTGATC